ACTAAAGTTGCTCTCGTTCTGAAGAAACATAGGTTACAAGATCGTTCCTTCTTTTATGGAGGAATATAGTGACTTGTTTTTTCGAAGGGTGCTATTCATTTTTTTTAATGTGTCGTTCTCAATTAAAGACATGATGTTTCCGAGATGAGCTTTTATTTTACTGAATATATAAAAAAGTACACAACACCCCGATTTTGGTGCATGTATTTCCGATAATAATGGCTCACGTCGATTTATGTAAGCGCATAAAACGTTTCCAATACCTCTCTAAAGAAGTATAAACTCACTTCTCGTGAGACCCGTTGACTTGATTTGGTCTCCTTCTCCCGTTTAAATAGTGAAGTTAAAGTCCTTTTATGTCTACCAGAAGACTATTCACTGCTGGCTGTTGATATTCTTGGTATTTCTCCGGGTTTTACATGCTGACTGGCAACTCAGCCAACCCATGAGGAGCGCAGCATCCACGTCTTGCAACATGGCTGCTAAGCTCCTCGGCGCTTCAGGGCATTTTACGGCTTATCTCTATACTCCGTTCACCAGTATGTTGACAGATTGATGGAAGCTACGTGGTCCCATTAGCAGTAAACCGTCGGTCTTGCAGCACCAGATGATCACGCTCTTTGTGCATACTCAAGTACAGAGAGCGGAATTCGCTGCTAAAAGGCATAATGATGAGTAATCGAGCGAATACGTAGCTTCAACCGCCCTTTCAGTTCCGGCTGCAGGCTGGGCCGGGACTGGGCATGAAAGAGAAGTAATTTAGTAGAATAAATTGGAAGGTTTGGTGGTGTCACAGCTTTGTGCAACCAAGCACCCGGTTATAAAAGTTTTAGATCACAGTAAGCTTACGCTAGGCCGTGTAATAAACTATGTTCGTTTTATTTTTCTGCACAGGTGTATAAAAATCTTTTTTTTTTTATTGCTTCTTTGCCTATTATGTGCCTTTTCTTGTTTGCCCCCCCCCCCCCTTTTTTTAAACACCTCTTTCTTAAAATAGCTACTAAAAATATATTCGGGTTCGCACGCAGCGGCCTTTTAATATAGCCTACAGAATGGCGTAATTAGCGTCGCATCGGTGATTTCGGGCTGACTAGAGACTATTAATATTTATAAAACGGAAACCCAACCCAGCAATAAAAAACGATTGGCTCTCGTAGCAGTTGCTTACTTCGATGTTGAGTTGAAAAAAACGTATATTTTTTTTATGTCATGCACAGCTGCTTTTGCTCTAGGTCATCCGCAGCGGAGGGGGAAGAAGATAGGCCCATGCCGGCGCCTGAGAGCGCCCGAGTTAGCCCAACCGCGCTGCGACCGCAAATAACCAGGACCACCCGCCTCACATGTCGTGCACCAAGCTACTCCTTAGAGTGGATGCCACACCTCACACGAAGAAGGGATAATTTAAAAAAAAACATCTCGAAGCTCGAAAAGAGGTACGCTAACCGTTGGCGTACCGCCGGATGTTTGTAAATCTTCGAAGGACTTCGTTCCTTACATGTATACTAGGTGGGGCGCTGTGGTGCGATAATGTTGGTAATCGTAATTTTAACTAGACCATGACTGAATCGCAGCTCTGTCTGGGTTATATGTTTCTTAGTTCGTAACTCCTCATATATCTTATTAATAAAGAATCCATTCTCGAGAACGTCAGAGTCCAGTTTTTCAAGTACGTATTTTTGGCAATGCACGTTAAATTGCAACCCGTACAGGTACTATCTTTTTATGCACATGAAATTCGTTCCACTGTGTAGGATTTATCATGCTATGTTGTATTATTCGCTTCAGCTGTTTGCAAGTAAATATTGTTCAAATGTGGTTGGGTTCGAATGTCTACTGCCAAAAGGGACGCAGAAGCCGGCGGTGTATGCATGGGCGAGGGTGGAAGGGGAGGGCAGATGAAAGAGGATACGGCCACGCTCGAAGTTTCAGGGAAGGGGCGGGGGCGGCGAGGGAAAAAGGGAAGAAAAGAGAAGGATTAAAGTAACTCTAATCATAGTTTTTGGCTGAAGAGAAGATTACTGACATCTGTCTTAATTGTCCTTCAAGTGCAGCCATATGGTCTTGTGCGGTGTCTATGAAGTTCACCTTAAACAACACTGTACTAAGTGAACTTGTATGCGCAAAGAGAGAACAAACATCAAGGAGTGGACAAGGAGAAGCGCCACTTTCAACTAGTTCTATTAAACCTTCAAAAATTTTATATAAACAGCGGAAAAGCCTGTGTTAGCGACACTTCAGTTTCTTTGTTTAACAGGGAGCTTCAGTTCGTATATCTGCTGATACAGTGATTTTGGTTCGTTGATTTTGGTTTAATTCGTATATGTGTTGATACAGTGATTTTGGCATGCCGAAGATTTACCTTGCTTTTTATATTTTATTAGGTTCTTTTATTCCTTTGTAGCATGTTTCGCATGCTCCCTATAAGCCGTCGCAGTCGCTTGGCTGCAAATTAAACTAGTTGAAAACGTGGGCTTTCACTTGTCCACTCCTTCGTGTTCGTCCTCGGGATTTGCGCATAAAAGTTTATTCAGTACCAAGAGCCAACTAGTCCGACAAGTCTTGTTAAGCAGCACTCTAGGCACATGCAATTACATATCCAGCAAAGTCCACGTGACCACCCCGCAGCCGAAGTGACCTCGGCAGATTGATCTTTGGGTCCCAAAGCCCCTGGTTATAAAATATTTTGTTCAAGGAAAGGTTCATCACGCAATTGACTCGCATCATGTTGCCACATGTGCAAAATGCCATAACGTTGCAGACAAGATCGTCCAGAGCTACCAAGGCCTCGGAGAGCTGATGGCTTGAGAAAGTGACCCGCGGGCTTGAGGGAACACTCAAGCTTTTCGACTGTCTCCTTAAGGAAATACTGTATTGTTAAACTAATATATTCACATGAATTATTCGTCTTCTATGTTTCGGCCATGTCTTCTCTAGATGTAGCAAAAAAATACTTTTCTGCACTCTTAGGGATGTTTTTTTTTATTATTCGTGAAAATGGTCGTCGGTCACTGAGTGCTTTGGGAACATATGCGTGCTTGATGTTACACTTCGCTTCACCTTTAGTGTTCACGCAGCCGACGCCACGAGCTGATGAGGCAAATCGGACAGCGTCCAAAGCGCTCCGTTATGGTGTTCTTCATGTTTCTGGGCGTGTTCTATCATCGCAGAACCAATCAAAAATAGAAAAGGCCCAGTGACTAGCGCGTTCGACGCTGCTTGATTGGTTCCCATTACCTTGAAGCGTCGTCTGCCTTACGATATAAGCCGAAACGAAGTATAGTGGCTATTAATTGAGTTTAATTCCAGGAAGGTAGCGCCAACACTTGTGCGTAAGAGCCATTCTTCATGTAGTGATTCCGTCTGACAGGGACTAAACTAAAAAAAAATCAAAATGCCTTCGTTGTAATTTTAAAGATATTCTGAAAACCTGTTTATGAAGTTTCGTGACTTGATATAGTGAGCAGCTTCGTGAAAACCGAAACCCAAACTGACGATCTCAAATATTGCTTTTATTTTGTCCGCTAGCCCTCTTCATATTTATATTTTATATTTCTATCTTACTTCCTTATTTTGTTCTTGGTGGTTACGTTTACTAACCTAGCGTCCCCCCCCCCCTCCCCTCCACATAGGAAATCTTGCGTACGCCACCTGCAGAGGGTGCGACCGCAGCATTTAACGCATTTGGCGCACCTTACGAATTTCAAATTCCAAACGTACATACATGCAAACAATTGCGCACGCGAACATAGTTTCGGAAGATGTTTTATGTGCATGTTCTCCAGAGCTCAAGTCAGATGTGTTAAAATATTAGAAACAGGGCAAAAACGGCGGCCCTGGATTTTCTATACCCTATACCGGATGATGTTCGTCGTCTTCACGCCAGTTTGAGAGATTGCTCCCAGGGGTGCTCATTGTTAATATATTTCTTTAAAATTACTAATCATCGCGATTAGATTGCTCATCAACAGCCTCTGCTACTAGTTTTTATCATGCTTGCCTTCAGGAAGCCACCCGGAAGCGAGCTCATAAACCGATGTGCACTCTACAAACTCCCTGGAATAGTACAAATGAAAGACAGGGCCGGCCTCCGATTTTGCCTTATTGTTACTATTTCACTACCTCAGATTTCTGATAAAGAATAGACAAAAAACTTGTGGCGAAACTACGTTCGCGCAAGCAATTGCAGGTATGTACGTTTGGAATTCAAATTTTACAAGGACTACTAAATGTCTTAGTCCTTAAGACCGCAGCCTGTAGAAGTTAGAGTTTATTAAGGGATAATTTATCATGGGGTGCTTCACAAGTAGACATATCACTGGATTTAAAAACGGGTACTCTTTCAATATTTTGTAGTTACGCATAATGTAAAAAATAGGTAGTTGAAAGTAGTCTTGGCAGTAAAGCTTTTCTACCATCAACCCACCAAGTGACCATATAAAAACATAATTGAGTAGCACTTCCTTAAACACCCTTTGCACGTTACCAGATTCCCTATGCATTCATATTCTTAACATCAAGTAGAACCGCACGTTCAAAACAAAAGGCGACTTTACACTTATTGTAAAGAGTAACTGAGTCTTGTGCGTTAATATATATTACTCTTATTTTTTATCTATTGCATTATTTCTGATATCTTTTCCTCGTTCTATACCTATTTGATAGTTTTACATAATCTTGATAGTCGAGCTATTCTTTGCGTTAAATGGTTCCCTAAGTATGCGTACTCTATGGATCAAATTGTTACTAAAAAGCTTTCAATTTTTATATATATATTTTTTTTTACATTTTGCTTGAATGGTTAAGTTTCATCGTGTTTAAATAAAACTCGCTGAAAGTAACTGAAATATAATTTTAACTACATAAAGTGTCCACACTAGTCATAGTGGTTTAATTCTTCATCTTTTTAACTGTACGCACTTTATTTTATTATACAACTCTGGGGCATCTTGCTTGAAGATTCTTTGAATGTTGCAATAAGGACGTGGAATTCCAAGCGCTCACTATTGTTCCACCGTGATGTTTATTCTTCTGTATAAACTGAAACCTGTTTGAAGGCAAAAAATATGTTATAAAGCAGTTATGCTGTCACAAGATCAAGATAGAAAGCGCTACCGTGTTAAACCATGCATTATTCAGCATGCACGTTGGTTTACATACGATGTAAGTCGCTCTGTTGCCACGTTTAATAAACCAAGCTGCCGAACCTAGGCGCGTTGAGAGTTTCGTTATTCCGAAGGCTTATACAATTTATGAAGAATTAAGAAATAAGAGCCATATTAGAATACATTCTTTTTTTAATTGACTTCCGGAGAGGCTTCACAAACTTCATTTAATATAGAAATTGATATACAATTTAACAGTGTGGTTCGTTACTTGTATATGCAACTGGATATACCGGGTGTTTCAGCGAAACTTTTCAAACATCTGTATTAATAGTGTCGCTGAGAAAAAAGGAATTCCTTCCGATAACAAACTGCAAGCCATAGCGGGCGTCAGGGATTGTAAAATAAATACCAATTTGCTGAATAATTAATTATATTATACTAATTACGGTTTTGATTGGTAAAAATGCAGAAAGTTTTAATTAGAAAGTTTTTTAGGAATATCGAAAACAGCTAAATCAATTAATTTTAGAAGGATATAAGGCATTTCACGACGTTCCAAAAAACCGCTCAATTTGGAACCGTTTCTTCGCTTCGGCTTCTAATCGCAGTGCATCTTTTCCAAGCGGTCCTGCCCCCACATGTGCACGGCGCGAAGCTACCACCTCACCTCCCTTGTAGGATGAAAGGATGTATTGCGAAAGTGCGTTGCGCACCTCGGCCACCGGGAGGCTGGGCCGCTGGCACAAAGGGGTGCTTCGATAGGAAGATGTTTTCTATAAACACGTCCAAGTTTAGCTTTTTATTCGAACTCCGTAAAATACTGCCCCTGCCCTACATTTAAAAATAAATAGTTTGGTTTTGTAGTTTTTGATGATGATCAGCAGGTTGCTAATTAGAGCCATACGTTCATCTCCACCAATACAAATTTGGTCAGTAATTTTGGTTCATATTTGAGCTGGTTAGTACGTCGTTTTCTCTCTGACGTCCTCCTTGCCTAGAGTTTTGCTCCCGGAAAGAGTCTATTTTTCTTCAAAACCCGAAGTTTGGAGATTTTGAAAGTCCGCTGAAACATCCAGTTTATATTACCTCATATCTCCTTCTCTTTGCGTCTTTCTTGCGTTGCGGATTGCGTGCTTTAGCAAATTTGTACAATCATTATGTTGGACGCCAGGGTACGCATGCAAGCCAACCAATGCTTTCCCTGGCATATACATGTACAGTTCTTACGATGTAAATAGAGTATTTAGATTTATCTTTGTCTTTTTTTTTCAAGGAATACAAAAACAATCGAAATTTCGCCAATCTAAAGACAAATTGTTGTTAGATTATACATTCTCGTACTATAAATAACCTTCCTTTCCAAAGTACACCGAGACAACATTAATGTCCTCGTGAATAAAATAGGTTTGCATATAACTTCAGGGTTTTTTTTTTTAACACATTTTTATGTGCCCGAATGGATGTAGCAATAACGCAATGACAAGTGGCAAACTCAAGGGCATTGTTTATAGTTTCGCTCGAGCCGCATCCAATCAGATGTTCGCTGATTTGGCTAGGGGACTGTGTATATATCACTTTCCTTTCAAGAATATAGTTATGCTCAGTTAACCGATTGACGATATGCGAAACGCACAGCGCCATCAGTAGCGAACAGAGAACTACGTCCAACAAACTTATATAAACCAACGACCGGACCGGCGAACGACACGTCAAAAGAAGCGGTCACGTATTGACCTACATTGGCGATGCCGACGTATTGCTACCTTTCGTTGTTTAAGCGGCGAACGACATCGATTCCTGAGGTAGCGAGGTACATACGTAAAGAAAGTTCACTTTTCTTTAAAATATTGACTGCTGAACTGAGTCAAAATAGTTTCGCCAAGTTTCACATGAGCTGTTACTGAACTGATTTTATTTTCTTGTGCCCGTTGTAGGATCGACCTTTTCTTTGTCTTCAAAGCAGAGTAATGTATGTGGACGCAATTCCTTCTGATGGCGAAGCAAAAAGATGGGACGGGCCCACAAATCAAGCCACCAATAATAATTCGCAAAGTATATGGTTAGCAGTCGACAATAAGAGCTCATATGTAAGAATATTTACTTTGAGGAGAGAGAACGCACACCAATTATGTATCCGAAATTCCAATACACTTGATCTGGCGTGGATAAACGAAGTTTGAAGCAAACAATCCCTCTAATGCTAAACAGGAGAGTGTGGTTTGTTGGTCATGTATTCTTGAAGATTTAGAACGCTGCTATGCAGAACGTAAAACACAAAACATGCGAACGGTGTCCTTTTAAGCTCAAATCTTCCTCAGAAACGGGGTTTTGCTGTCGGTTTTCTTGAACGCTTCAATCCATCGCGTCACTTACGTCCACCTTAGTAGTTAAAGCACCAAACTCGGTTGCGGCGAAAATCGGCCCGACCCTGTGGATAATCAGTGGACAAACACCGGCTACGTCGGCTGCAATTTGCGTCAACTCTATTTCTTTTATTTGATTTTTTTTTTCTTTGCCGTTGGTTAAATATTTTTTTTTTTTGTTTACTGCGAAAGAACTCAGCGGGTGGTTTTGGGAAACTCTGGTTTTACAAAATCTACATCGAAATAAAGTATTTATGTCATGGTTGTAGAAATACCGGTGGGACTCCCGTCAACTCCTGATATCGGAACGAGTTAACACAATTTTGAGCTCTTACCAACACCTGCTAAGTAATACCAGGGGGTAGATTACTTCACAAAAACTCGGATCAATTAAAATTTTCGCCAGTAACATTCGTAAAAATATAGCAAATATCGAGTCGCGTGTATTAGTATGGAGCTAAAATGGTGCGCGATGTGCTCCTGCCTCTAAAAGGAAAACACATTCCGTACGTGCTTCGAAAAATATTTCAAGGTGTTTTCAGATTAACATTATTTACGCTAGGTGATCGGTAGTCGGAAGCCTAAAGTTGCTGTAACACAACCATTGGAACAGCCTCGGAAAGGACGAGAATCCGAAGCTTGACGTTACTAGGACGGCCGTGCGCACAGTGTTTCCAGACCTTTAAGCAGTTTCGCCTATCGTCTATTAATTCCTACATTTTTTTTTTAAAACACTATAATGACTCTACTACGTACGGTAATATGTTACATGCTCTAAATTGCTCTCATGTTGAATTTTGTTTTACGCATATGGTTCGGACGTCAACGCAAATACAGCTAACTGAACGTTGTATTAGAATTTTTCACTTTAATTTGTTAATACTTCCATCAAGCGTATAGGTATGTTTCTGGAAGTGTCACCAAAGCGCGCAGGATATCAAAATTAGTAAGAACAAAAACACGAAAATGTGCCTCCTGCAGGCGGCGGTGTGTCAACAGATACACGCTAGGGAGGTTAGCTTCTTATTTTAAGTCATCTATTATGAGAAAACGTATACTAAGCATTTTTATACCTGATTTACAGTTGTGTCGAATATATTAAAAGATCTGAAATTATGAAGCGTCACTAGAGACAGTTCTGTAATTGCCCTCAATACCCATGCAAATAAAAAATACCAGTCATTGATTTAAAAACTTCATTTGTGATTATTATTATTCCGTCATTATTAATTATCTGCCAAGTATGGCAACGCAAAATACGAATGCATCGACATCCAGCACATCATGCAATTCCTTGGGACGAAGCTGAGTGAGCTTCGGGGTGAACACAAGAAACGGGAGGAGTAACCTACTTGTCTGGTCCAATCACGCAGATAAAAATATAACATGTGCTGATTTCAGATTTGTGTGGTTCTTTTGATATGCCAGCTCAGATTTGAAATGTTCCATCCCTGATCAGGCATATCGAAATATATCTGGCATTATGAGGCTATATCTGGCATATATGTATACCATATCAGGTTATAAATGGTATTTTTTGTATATATTCCACATCTGAAATCTTGAAACCTGGTAAGATATATTTTTGTAAAGGATAATTAAACGTCGAAGTCCACGCTGTGGGGCTCAGCAGGCTCCTCTTCAATGTCTTGAAAATGCAGGAATATTTTAATCAGCTTGTTATAACCATAAATATCTACGTACCATTGCAGGTTTTACGGCATTCATTCTTGTCTTCAAAATTGTTGCCATTTTGCCCAGGGCCACCACCGAAGATAAACATTTCGCAGCTAGCTGATGAAGTGTTGAAAAACCATCTCTGCATATAAGCTTTCCCTAAACCTTCATTCAGTTCCAGCGAGCAGGGCGGCTTTGGAGCACCTTGAAAAAACGAAATGTTGAATTATGTGTTTTTTAAATTCCCGTTACAATATCATACAATGAATGAAGTTCCTAACATTATATAGTACCTATGCACCTTTCAGATTAAAAATCTCGACTCTACCATAATTTACAAAGGTAAGAGTGATTCTCTTTGGAAGCACACATCTTATTTTTGCGCTGCTGTTTTCCTAAAAGTAGATATTAAGCTTGCTTGGTAGAAGAGCGTGTTGGTTTAAGTCATGAATAAAGAAAGAATAAAACAATTAAAACAGGGACAACACAACCACATCATTCAGCTAACAACATACTAGTAAACTTTCAACAGCGAGCAGCCGACTATACCCAGGAGGAGAAGGGGAGAGAAGGGAAGATAAGAAAACGCGAACTACAAGTCAGAGTGGTGGACTTATCTCGGATTTTAGAAATTCAACCTCAGTTTTCGTCAGCAGGAGGGAAGGGTTTGACACATTGTTTTTTGCTGTGGTCATGGCGAATGATCCTATGATCTCCCTGCCGAATATTAGATATTAAGTCAACGAGCTGTTCAAGAGTGCGAAATTTAAAGATAAAAAGTCGAGAAATATAGACTATAGGCCAATTCTTTTTAATGTACATTTTTTCCCAAGTGGTTCTATTGACATTATTGATGTTGTTTTCCGGAAGACGATTACATTTATTTGTGTATTTTATTTTGATTTTCGCATTCAGTACGAGACAGTAATAGTTGTAGCATTAGATTATTATTATTTCTGATATATCAGTTTGGAAACGTTCACTGTCCTATTCATTCAATCATGCAGCTTATTTTTGCTTTCAAGGGGTACATACTCCTTGAAATGGTACCTTGGCACAAAAGGCGATCGTGTCGGCGCACCTTTTGTGGCGCTGTTGACTCCCCCCCCCCCGCTGGACCAAGGTCCAACGGGGGGGGGGGGGGGGGGAGTCAACAGCCACAGCACTAAGGGCTAAACTTCGACAAGAGAAGAAATATGAATAAAAGATATAATGGATACACATATATACACACACACAAGGGATAATGGATGCACACACGTTATGAAATTTTAAAGAGAGAATACTAGCACACATTAATGTTACCAGTTACTGGTTGTTGTGTGTAAACATTGTCGTAAAAAAGATTAAACAAATCATATAAGACATCAAGCGAAAAAATAACTACATAAAAATAAAAAAGCACTTTCGGTAAAAATCATAAAAATGAAGCTAGATTACACATTCATCAATTCCAGACAGATATAAAAATAGCAATTTGTCATTGTCCACACATTAAAATCTAAAAATAAACGTGAATATAAGGTATACAAGATTTGTAATAAAACGGATGCACAAACAATGCTGCTTAAAATAGTTAAAAATGTATTGCACATATCTATAGAATTATCAACTCATTGGCAATCAAAAAGGAGCGTAGATCTTTTTTAAATGTAGTTTTGTGTCCAGTAAAAAATGAAATTATTGCCGACTGCATTTAAAAGCTGGGAAACCTGAAAATGTATCATTTGTTTTCCGTATTAGTCCTAATAGATGGTAGTCTGTATGTACTCATTGCCCTTAAATTATGTTCAGACAAATTTACAGGAATGAGGTCAAAGCCGCTTACTCCGATTCTATGAATGAGCTGCCCAAGCTTATAATGGTCAAGCCTAGAAAGTGGAAGGATATTTAATGTGTCAAATAGTCTTTCGGCTTCACTACCGTGATTCGAGTTGGCCATTATTCTTAAAATACATTTTTGTAAACTTATAAGTCCATTAAATTCCTAATTAGCGTGTTGGTAAGATGTGCTAGATAACAGAAAGTATAAAACAGAGAGAGGACGAAGCACAGTCCATTTAGTTGGTCGTAACCGTGGTGCCACAAACTAGTAAACAGTAGTGAAGTTTTTGATAAAAGTGGGTTAGTATATTTGTACATTCAAACATGTCGGTAGGAGGTCTTTTGTCTTATCAATTATTCCTATTGCTCTAGAAAGGTCACTTTTTTATGCTCATTTTGTGTTGTGCAGGATAGTTTGTCACTAAACCAAACCCCTAGGAATTTGCAATCAGTTATACGGTCTATAATGCAGTTGTTTATTGTCAAACATGGCAGTTTATTGCTTTTTTTGGCGTAAATAGCATATGCTTTGTTTTTGCAGCACTTAATTGCATTTTGTTTATGTCGTCGATATTGTGTTTTTCAGATATAACCAACCGCAGAATTAATGGAAATAGTTTTATTCGGATTCATTTGCAGGTATTGAACGAGGGCGCCACTTCCTGTGTACCGTAATTTATGAAAAAAAAATAATATTTGACAGTGTGCGTAACGTAAATTAGGTGTATAAAGCAGGGTGTCAAAAAAAAACAATAAAAAAACGGTATTTTATTCCGTTGCTTGTATAATGCCTGCGGAACGTTCCCTAACACTCGCGCAAAGGCGCACTGTGGAACCGCCATTGCAACCACGTAGATGCCACCGAGGGGATACAGAGGACAGCGGTCTTCACTTCTCCGCGTACGACCAGATTCCCCTCGGAGCTCGTGGAGGGAAGAACTCACATTTTACAGCGAAGCTATTTATGGCTATGGTTCCGTGAATTTTTCGCGTGCAGTTACCAAAACTTTACGCTCGCACCGCCGCATGCGCACGTCTTCCCCATATAAAAGATACCAAGTAAATAACCAACCTAAGCGCTGGCGAACGCGGGTGCAATATGGCATTTGTTTTAGGCTTTTGATTTAGAACAGTTACTGCTGCAGACGCCAGCGCCGCACGCGCTCGACTTCTCCGTATAACCGATTGGAAGTAAACAACAAAAATAAAGCGCTGACGAAAGCGCGTGCAAGATAGCATTCGTTTTAGGATCTTGCTTTAGAACAGTTACTGCTGCAGACGCCGGCATATACGGAACTTGAAACACCACTCCCTCCATTCTCATTGATCTTTGGGTAATTTAGCACTATGTATATTCAGTAGATTAGTTATCAATAGGTACCATTTTCATGATCAGCAGAATCTCAGGTAGATAATGAACGTTTCTCAAAGGTTTGCCGCTGTGCGACCCACGTCGGCCATATCTAGGCTTGCACCGCCCTCTCCTTGTCGTCGTTCCAAGCTCCTGCATGTCTAGTCTTCTTTTCTTCCTCTCTCCCGGGGTGGCGGTCCCGCCGCGCGTGTCTACTTTCCGCCGGGTGGAGGTCCCGTTGCGCGTGTCTAGTTTCTTCTGGCTCCTCGGGGCGGGTCTATGTCCTGTGCTAAACAGCTTCGCTGGACATCCATGTGCACAGAGTGGAATGTCTCATGATTTTTATGATTTTGGTTATTATTTCCCTCTAGGTAAAAAGCAAGCTGGAACCGGGAGAGGGCTCTCGTTTCTTTGGAGCTCCTCGTTCCTGGACTTCGTTCCGTCCCATGGGAGTCGGGAGCGTGCGCAGTGAACGTTTCTGGGGAACACGAGCAGTTATCGAATGAGTATTTACCCCGATATAAAGCTTCATTTTAACGCGATAGCGTCTATGAGCTCGTATCCCAGAAAATCTGGTGTCGGCGTAGGTTAAACCTCAAAACCCCTTAATGCAACGCGCGCAGCCACGTGTGACGTAACGCTTCACGTGACATCACATCACACGTGACTCTACCGACTAGGCAACGCACTCACGCGTGCACAGCTGGGGAACTAGGGCGTGTTTTTATAAAAAGGCTTTGCGAACGGTGCGCGATAAAGCTATCGCGTTCCACTCTTAAAGGCGAAGCTTAAGTGTCTTTAAAGCTTTAGACCTAGCTTTCGAAACCATCGACTTTTCCGATTCAGCGGGTGCCACCGGGGCATAGATATTATTTTACGATAGAATCAATGTTGTTTTTTTTTTGTTTTTAGAATACTTCTGTTTTACTTGCGCCTGCACAGCAGAGCATGCTAGGCACTAACACATCTTACGCGCTGTAGAACCACGTAGTTGGGACTTCCGAGGCCAATCCTTGTCAGAAGAAACGCACATCGACGTCCAGCTGTGCTGCAGACCACCAGTTTTGGCACATATACGTGAGGCTATTTTTTTGCTTGTAACGAGCCATTGCGAAATTAGTGCTCATTATGACTCCCCAGGAGGTTGCTTTTTGTTATTTGCCAAAGATGCCGTCGACCGACGCCTACGGTCGTACCATCTGGTGACATGAAGTGCATATGCCCACATTCAAGAAAATTCCTATTTTTCGGTCTGTAGCTTATTATTGAGGAGTGGGCCAGGCAGCAACTGCCCAACCAAGATGCCTAAGTTTTTTGTGATATCGTTACAGCTCCTGATAATGTTCCTGGCACCAACGTGGTCCTCTATGGCGGTGAACGGCAACACGATCATCGGCGGCAACGTTACATCGGTGACGACTACATTTGTTTTCGAGATTACAAGCTCGTCATCGCTTCAGTGCTCCACGTGGAACGGACTAAATCACATAATCCCGACGGCGCTGATTGAAATCAGTCTTTCGCCTTCAACCACCACCATGGATTCCGCGCCACTTGAAAAAAAAGCGGCTGCATCTTTCGACTCTACCAGTGGGCCAGGCAGCAACTGCCCAACCAAGATGCCTAAGTTTTTTGTGATATCGTTACAGGTTAGTGACTTCAAATACCTTGCTATCAAAAGCAACAATTTGTGCTTATTCTTGCTGCCTGGCCCCAAGGCTTGTTTTGCGTTGTACATAGAATGTCTCAGCATTTCCAGTGTTTCTGTTTCTACGTATGTTGAAAGTGTTAGTTACAGTCTGCTTTTGCTCCTTGGCGGGGACATTGAATCTAACCCCGGGCCCATGACCAAACCCCAAGAAGAACAACTTAATAAAGTGCTTGAAATCGTTCAGACGCTACAGACAGGTCAGAACAATATCCTCCAGGAAGTTCGAGATTTAAAACTAAAGCAGAGTACGACCGAGGAATCAGTGAATGCCCTCATAACACGCGTTAATCGGGTGGAAAACGAACTTTCGAAGTTAAA